ATTATAAAACTCGTGGATTTTTACCCTGTGTGAAGTCAGGTATAACTGACCCACTCTTTTCTTCTGTACCTCATCTTCATAGTTGCACATCACCAGAACTCTCAGTGGTTTGTTCTAACTGGATGATATAAACCACTACCTTTTCAAAAAAAATACATATTTGCCAGCCCTATGAGATCAAACAGGAACAAAAATTATGCCTTAAAAATCAAGGAAGTGTTTATAGCAAGCAGTTATATATATATGTTCTAGTTTTAGATACTCTGTCAATCTGCATTCACATTTCAATGCTTTTATCTACAATCATAAAGCCAGAAATGTATTGCTAAATGACTGCTTCAACATTTTAGCAGCTGGAGCATTAAGAAGACACCTACACTCAGGATGCTGATAAAGAAAATCAAAAAAAGAGTTGTCAACTACTTCCTCCACCTTTTTATCTGAAAGGAAATTGAGTGAGTGCCCAACGTCTGTGGTTTGGGAAGAGAACTGGATAATGAAGATTCAGATGCAACTCAGACAGCACACTCTTTGGTGCATCTACTTGGAGGCAAAATACTAATGCATCACTGGCAGGTGTGCAAGCAATTGTGAACTTAGACACAGAAGCAGACATTGAATGGATGTTCCTATTTCATCTGTTTATCCTTTCATTCCAGGGTTCACCCTAGCATTAGACATAGTGAGGCACTTGCTTTAAGCAGCAGATTTAAGATTTCCATGAAAGGTCAGAAAATTATGAGTTCTTTCAGTTGTCATTGTTACATTTTATTGCCAGGGAGGGGAAGATACACTCGTGGGATTTTGCTCCCTCCTGTGCCAAAATAAATCTAGCACTGAGTACTATTAAGTTGACACAGAGGAAATGCTCTTTGTTGCTGCAACTCTGGCAGTAAAATGTCGGGGACTATTTCAGTAAATGATAACTCTTTCCAGTCTGTCTCTTCTCACTCTTTCTGCTCCTGGTAGAAAGCTATCTCGGCACATGTAATCAAAGGGTACTTATACATCAGAGTTCCCAACTATTTAAATGTCAAGGCATTGCCCTAGAGTCATGTGTCAATGTCATCCTAGACTTTTCCACCCTGTGTATCAGCAAAGAAGACTGAGTGGAACATCTCAACAAATTTCTCCGAGGTGGGGGAGAAGTTCCCCAACCGTCTCCAAGGGTCAAATGACATCAGCAACGAGATTCAACTGTGCCAGCAACCTGGGAAACACTTTGCACCCTCCACAATATCCCGGACAGCATCGCTCCAAAGCATGGAGGTGGGTGAATGGCCATGGAAGCATAACAACGAGGGTGACATCTTTCACAAAATACTTTATGTAAAATATTTTTACCCCACCTTTCTCTTTAAAAGGACCTCTGGTGGCTTATATCATTAAAAGACAATCTTAAAGCTAACAACAGTGAATAAACAAATGCTAAATGGATCAAACAAATACCATACACACATACACACGCAAAAACCCCCATAAGCAACACCAAAAGACTTTCAAAGTAGTAAGCTACAGCAAACCATTTAAAAAAACCCCACTCAGGCAGCCTATCACTCAGGGAAAGCTTGCCTGAAGAGAAAAGTCTTTGACTGCTTGTGAAAGGACAGCAAAGATGGTGCCAGCCTGGCCTCCTGTTGGAGGGAGTTCCAAAGTCTGAGAGCAGCAACAGAGAAGGCCCTCTCCCATGTCCCCACCAAACACACCTGTGAAGGTGGCGAGGCCAAGAGAAAGACTTCTCCTAGCGATCTTAGCAGGGTCATAAAGAGAAATGTGGTTCTTGAGATAACTTGGGCACATGCCATTTAGGGCTTCATAGGTTAGAACCGACACTTTGAATTCAGCCCCCAAACAGATCCGCCACCACTGGAGCTGCTGTAACGGCAGAGGGGGGTGTTATGTGATCCCTGTAATCAGCCCCAGTCAGCAGTGAATAAGAGTGAATATTCTGAGAATAAGGGAGAATATTCTGAGAAGAAACCCTGCAATATAGCATTCTTTTTTCTAGGAGGCGTGGTAGTAGTCAGAAAGAACAAAAACATCTCAAAAAATTTCTCAAAAAAAAAAAAAGATTCCTCTCAGAAATTTCAACTTGGCTCACTGAATCTCAGAGAATGTTGTTTGGTGAGATGCTAAGAATTCAGTGTCTAGAGGTGGCTGGTCCTGTGTTGCTAAAACCAAGATGACCTTGAACAGGGGAGTGACCATTAAATTCATTTAAATCTAAAGTGTAGGCATGTTAAGCATATTAGGCAAATATTGTGAATCTGAGACAGGAACATCTCTTCTGCTTTACAACATTATTTCAGTTCAGTGGTATGAAGGCCACAGCTGACGTATAGGACTAATATTCCCACTTGTGATCAATGTTCATATCAATAGGTGACAGAAACCATGTGGGACCAGTCAGTACAAACAGGGCTAATTAATGCATGCTGCTGAAGTGAGACTGATGTGTGGGGCACTCTTTCACAAGAACATGTGCCACAACCTACCACATACTGAGAGAAGAATGCTCATCATAGTATTGGAAAATTGGTCATAAGAAGGTATGAGCTAGGAGGTAAAAATAAATAAACAAACCACTTATACCCCCCTCTGTTTGAAGAAAGAAGTATTGCTGCTCCTTCCAGTCTTGAATATGGATCACACTTCACTCTGCTTATCCAAAGACAAGAGGTTACCAACTGAACAACAGATGATAAAGAGCATGTGGGTGTGAACTGGCAACCTCTTCACTCCTGTTTCGCCTCTTTAAAGAACATTTTCATGCCCCTTTCTATTAAAAAGTGAGTAACAGAGTAACAAAATCGCTTCAGCAATCAAGAATGGTTCCCTCAGGTTTTGGCACTGGGCTTTTTCCATTAATGTCCTCAGCCTCTATTAACATTGTTTTCTGAATCTCTGGCTCTAATTCAATTCTCTTATTCAGAATGTTTCTTCTTTCCAGGCAATTTATAAACTGCAAAACCTCAATTTGTTCTTAATTAGCAATTCCCCCTTTACATAGACTTCATAAGGATAAGAGATCATTTTTAAAGAGAACAACATTTTTTAAAAATGATGGGGAGTGATCCTTTTCTGGACTTAGAGTGATGTAACTCCATATTGCATGAGAGCAACCTGTTAAACTCCTGTGACAGTTAGTAAAAATAAAACAAAGTGGCAACATTAAATTGCTGTGGGAAACATAAAGTTACACTTCTGACATTTTCTTAGACTCTTCCCATCTGGCTTTTAGGAGATCATGGAATGATTTAGCTTTGAAAGTCACATTATCTAATGAGCCTAGAAGTAAAATCTGAAAACTTCTGCTAATAAATATGTGAAAATGATTGTATTTGATTGTATTTTGTTGGCAAAACCTCATAACTTCCTCCTCCCTTCCAGATTTTACTCTGGAAGTTTATTTAAAGATCTGTTTCCTTTCCTCCAGTTCCGAGGAGGAGGAAGAAGAAGAGAAAACCCTTCTTGGCAAGCAAAAACACTATCCAGTGAAACTTTTTCACAAGGAGTGGTTTCCAAATCTTTGACATACAATTTAGAGCCCAATTGAAACACCACCCCAAAAACTCTAAACTGGTATTAAGCTGACCTGGTGCAAAAAGTTATCACAAACTCAAGATTAATCTGCTGCTCATCACGAATAGTTAACATTCTCTCTTACAAACACATTTTATCTCCACTTCTCTTATTCAGCCCATTTCCTTTCCAAGCACAAGAGTGCCTAATGGTCACAGAAGTCATAAATAGGTAATCTATACTGAAGACTCCTTTCCTCAAGAATGAATTTTAGGAAAAAGCCCAACATTAACCATGCATTATTTGGTGGGGGCTTGAAGGAACATAAACACCCTTCCAATATACAAGCCAAAGGAAGGGAAGGACAAGTGCTACTCAAGAATTACGGGTACTTTAATAAATGAGCTTGTGATGTGTTTGATAGCTTTAGTCAAAAACATATATGGGATTGTTTTCCAAAAGCATTTTTAAAAATAAAAAATTAAGTGCCCAAAAAGGATGTCGATTATGCTTCTCCTAAAATCCGTATGTGGTCCAGACTGGGAGGAAAGATTATCGGTAGCTGTTTCACCTGTCCAGAAAGACAACTTGAGGAGAATAGAGGAAATCCCTGTATCATTAACATCTTTTAAGTATTTATTCTTTCAGGGGGTTACTGAGTTGTGTGGCTTTTTTTCATCCACATGCATTTTCTTCTTGAATGGTCTAACCCTGCCCACTCCCAAGTGCTTTCCAAGTTATAAGAGCACTTTTATTTAAAGAAACCCCCAACTGCTACCCAACGCTTGAATATAGTTCTCACCACCAGAGCGTTTCCTTAAGGGTTCCTGAGCATGTGCAGAGCGTGATGCCACCAGTTAACAGCATTCACACAGTAAAGCAGGTCCAAGATCTGGCTGGACGTTCTCTTTTTATAGGAAAGAACAATGGGAAAAAGAGAGAACTGGGACCCAAACACGAAATGGAAAACGGAACACAAAAGCTCCAGATAACCTCACCTGGTTCCGGGCCCACGCCTGCAAGCTATTCCGAATTCCTGTGTCACAGCGAGATAATTAAAAGCCGGAGTCTCCTTTGGCCAAGTGAAAAAAAATAATAATTTCCACTTGCAGCTCGAAGTTGACA